TGGGCTTGCTTATAATGTAAGAGGGATGTCCTGAGTGCTAGGCACTGTGCTGGGGTATGGGGTGCAGCAGCAAACAGGACAGATGTTGCCCCTGCCCTCGGAGAACTAATGTTTAGAGAGAGACAGTTAAACAGTTAAAATGCCATGTGCTAGGGGATGGAGTTCCTAAGGGTCTTAGAGCGAAAGCATGAGCCATATGAGCCCAGAGGTAATCAGGAACCTGGTATTCTAAAGTCTAATTAGAACCTGGTATGCTAAAGTCTACTTAGAAAAAAGCAGGGGCGCTAGGGCACCTGGGGTGCTCAGTCCATTGAGCGGCTGATGCTTGGCTTTAGCTCAGATTGTGATCTCAGGGTCCTGAGATCAAGCCCTGCATAGGAGTTCTTGCTCAGCAGGGAGTCTCCTTAAGTTTGTTTGTCCCTTTCCCTCTGCCCCTTCCCCCCACCTTGCTCTTTCTGTCTCTCTGTCACTCTCTCTAAAATAATAAGTCTTTAAAAAGGCAAACGGGGGAGAGTCCTGACTGACCCAGTCAGTAAAACATACAAGTCTTGATCTTGATCTTGGGGTCATGAGTTCAAGCCCCATGTTGGGTATAGAGATCACTTAAAATTAAAAAAAAAAAAAAAAAGGATGTGTATAAGAGCGGGAGACCTGAGTTTTATTCTTTTCTCTGTCTTTACTACCTTTGTGATGTGTCTAGCTTCATTTTCTCATCTATAAAATGGAACAGTAATTTTTGTCCTGCTAACTCTTGGGGTTGTTCCAGGAAGTGCATTAGAGAATATACTATGAAAATGCTGTAAATATTACTGAACATTTTGTTTTTCCATGATGTAACGTGGGGTGTAATTTACTCCGTTGCTAATAATTCGTCCGTGCACTCACTCATTCCACAAATATTTGCTAAGCACCTACTTGTTTGAAGAGCCTGTGTTAGACCCTGTTTTTTGCTTGAGTTCATCCTCTTGCATTATCCCATTCAGAGTATCTAGATTTGTTTAGCGTTAATTCTCCTATTAAGTTGGAGTGGGGGTGGGAGGAAATTCGCAGTTCTTGATCCCTATTTCAGTCCAGGGGCTTTCCTTGAGTGATCTTCCCGGGGGCATGGGTGGAGGTTCCCCGGAGAAGCACAGATGAGAAGCCGTTGGCTTAAATATTCATTTCATGGTTCATGGGCTAGTTTAACATCTGGGAAAAACCAGTTTAATTATCTTACGGAATTGTTGCCAAATTGTTTATAATTACTTTTAAGACTGGTGTTACTCATTTTACTAGCCAAAACATAACCACCAAATGAAATCTTGTACATCAACGTAGTCAGGAAAAGATTTTATAAGTACTATGTGTGTTTATGTTACATTTATATTCATTACAAAAGAACTAGTTTTCGTTATGTAGAATAGTTTGGAGGGGGGATTTTCTGTAGTCCGAACAGAATATACTAAAAATCTTGAAGAGTAAAGCATGATCCCAAATTATTTCTAACTTCTGGAATTTATTTTATTTTGGTCCCAACATACTTTATAAACAGCTGGATTGTGGGCATTTCAGCATGATAATATGCTGTATTTCCACATTATTACACACCCTCAATATTTTTGAAGCTTAATTAACTGCTAGTGAAGATAGCATTAGCGATCCCTCAAGAATATGCTGGTAGTTTTGTTTGATCTTCAGGAATAACACTGTGATCCTGCTATGCTTAAAAACTCAAATAGATTTTTTAGAAAAATGATCAATACTTTCTGACAAGATGAAAGATACCCTTAAGAATCAGAAGGTATTATCAGTCATGCCAACCCCAGCTGTTTGAATACTAAGCCATGTGGCTTAAAAAGATTTTTAAAAATAAATATAAAATTGAAATGGCAGTGTCTGCTCTATCTAGCTTTTTCAAAAATATATAGTCAAGGGGTGTTTAGGTGGCTCAGTTGGGTGAGTGTCTGCTATTGGCTCAGGTCATGATCTCAGGGATGATCCTGGGATGGAGCCCCAAGTTGGGCTCCCTGCTTCTCCCTCTCCTTCTCCCCCTCCCCTTTGCTTGTGCCATCTCCCCCTCTCTCTCAAATAATTAGATAAAATCTTTAAAAATACACACACACACACCTGGACTAATAGATGTTCTTCCGACCCTGTGATTTTATTTGTGGGACAGCAGACTCAAGCTCTAGTTAACTTGAGACTGAGAATAAGAGCTGGGCCAGCACGTGGGCCTGGAGCTTCGTAGAGGCTGTAGAGTCTTTCCAGCAGCGTGGTCTTTGGCAACAAGTTTCCGTTGCTCTCACGACCCGGTATTGGTAGGCACTGAGCATCTCCATTCATTTCACACTGGGCAGAGTCTTCCTTCTCCTTGTTCCAGACGGTATTGACGTGGAGCCCAAAGAAATGTCTTCCCAAGTTTCACCTACGCTCAGAAATGTATGTTCACTTCTGCAAAGATGAAAGTGTTAGTATTTTTTGCTCATGTACATTCTCTCCTTCAGCATTTGCAGAAGTAAAATGAAATCTTTTTGACTAAGGCACCCCTTAGCTTCTGCTAAAGCTCTATTCTCCCATGGTTTTTCCCTTCCTTTCAAACATGAACCTGCTGCCTGCAGAACCTTCTCTGAGTAGAATAGGCTTGGTCCTGAGCAGGTCAGACAAACGGTTAGATGAAAGAGGGCAACAGGCAGGTTTCTGTCCCTGCCTGGGCCAGAAGGACAGCACCAGAGTCCATCTACCCTGTTCAGGTGTTTCTTATTCCCCTCCCCATTTTCAGTATTTCTTTCCCCTCCCAGTGTGTCCTCCAAGCCATGGGTGCCCTTCCCATTTTACATAAGGAAGGACCTAGAACAGCCTGGAGTTTCCTTATGGAGGCACTTCTTTTGTTTATGTTCCAATCTGAGCTGTAGGACCTCGCTTTTTTATTGTGTTTCTTTACTTGGTCCTTAGTTCTTCCTCTTGCTCATAAAAACATTTGTTTTTTATCAAATATTCCTGACAAATTAAGTCTCATTCTTGAGAAACTCTTGACCTTGCCCCCAATACCTTTTAAAAAGTATGTATATGGGGCACCTGGGTGGCTTAGTCGTTAGGTGTCCGTCTTCTGGCGCTCAGGTCATGATCCCAGGGTCATGAGATCGAGTCCCAGGGCAAGGAGCCTGCTTCTCCTGCCTGCCACTCCCCCTGCTTGTGCACGCCTGCTCTCTCTCTCTCTCTCTCTCTCTCTGAAAAATAAATAAAATTTTTAAATATATATAAACTGAATTCAGACATCAGCAGGAATGCCCAGGAGCTAATAAATACCATGTTGGCACATGCCTCCCTTAAGAGTTAAACACCCCCTCCCCTGCCAACAACAGACAGCAACGTGTCATTTTAAGAGAGCGTTAGCTGTTATCATAAACATGCTTACTGTAGGGATTCTCCGAAGGTCAAGTATAAAAGATCATCTCTTCTGATACGTTTGATATCAAACAGAACTCATTCTTCCACAACGTGGAAGATGTTCTTTTGAGAATCTGGATCTCAAACTTTTCTTTTGTGTTAGTAAGAGTGGATGAGACATAGAGGTGGTGAGTAAACTTGGCAGAATCCTGGATTTCGGTAAAACAGCAAACTGCCCTGTGGATTGGGTTGAAGCCAGTAACCAAAGCATTCACCAGACTGATCCAAGCTGCAGACTAAGAAGTGTAGCTGCAACTTTTCCCCAGACCTCCTTTGTTTGCCTTTAAATTTCCTTGCCTCTCCTCCTTCAGGGAGGCAGATTGGAGGCTTGTCCTCCCCGTCCCCTCCAATGGCTGCCTCTAGAGTAAGCCCTTTCCTTGTGGCTTACCCCATGTCTCGGAGTCTGTCTTTGCTGTACATCAGGCAAATGAACTTGGGTTCCGTTACATGGTGAGGACCAGGTGATCCAAGTAAGATGTTTTTGCCCGGCAGTTCTGCTGTCAAGTTTATTCGGAGCTGAACTCCATTGCCACTGTCACTTCCTAAGCCCACAGATCTGTTTCAGAAGAGTCTAACCATTTCTGAGCAGTGCATAAGCCCGTGTCTGACGCCAGCCACCATCCGCGTGCCTATGGCACCGCGTTCATGCCTAGAGCCAAAAGATCACATTGCTCTTTGGAGTAGGATAAAAAATGAAATGATAGGGTGAAATGAAATGATAAAAAGTGCCCCCCCGAAAAGCTGAGATGTAGCTTTGTCTAATTGTGAAAATCGAAACCTCCTTCCTGGTCCTTTCTGAGCAAAGTTCAGTCTGTTTCTGTCCCTTAATAGTTACACGGTCCTATTGAAATAAGTTACAAATACTTGTTTTAAAACAAAAAGAGACATCTGTTAACCCACAGACGCCCTCGTTTTTTCTTCCCTCCTGCCTCATCTCTCATTGAAAAGCCTAGTATGGATGAGCGTATTATTGGATTAATTAACTTTCCTTCCCCTTTTGTATTTATTTAATCCAGAAAGCGCTATGAGATACTGAGTCTTTGAAAATAATGCGTAAGTTAATCATTACATGACCATCAGCCTGCTAGTTTTATAACATCTGAGGCCCTGTGGTTTGTTAAATGTACTGAAAGCTGCTGCTTAGAAGCTTCTTCAAGTCCGGTTTCTTCCAGAAGCTGCTGAGTGAGAGGGTGGGGTTTCAGCAAAACTCTAAAATAAGGCCCTCTACTGTTGCGTATCATTGATTGTAGTATTAGGTTTTTTATTGTTTGTGAAATCTTACATATATTTTAATATGATTATTAATATAATATTAAAATACTATATAGCTACAGCTTAAGACAAGATTGCATTTGCCTAAAAAAAGTGATTTTTACAAAAACTTCATTGGTCTGGAAGAGATGTTTAGGAGCCTATGCATTAGGTCATGGTGGGAGAGGTGCTTTTTTTTTCAAGTATAATTTAAAAAAGTACATTCTCAGGTTCCCTATGGAAGCCTGGCTAATTCTCTTGAAGAAACGGGAAGATCTAATTCTCTGTTGCTTAATCTCTGTGGTTTTATAATTTGTTTCTAGGTACCAAAGGAAGAAATAAAGGAGAATTTACAAATCTCCAAGGGGTGGCTGCGTCTACAAGTGGAAAGATACTAATTGCAGATAGCAACAACCAATGTGTACAGGTATGGCCCCTTGTTATATACCTTTCTGTGCATATTCCTTCTTAAGACTTCAGATCTACAGTACAAAGAAAGAGAAGCCTACAATTGTGGAGAGGCTTTTCTTCAAATGGGATTTGCTTGTCCTGGCCTGTAGTACATATGATGGGCGTGTTCTTGACTGTTTCTCCCTCACTCATTTCTGTGCAAGTTCACGTTCCAAGGAATGTCATCTGTTTTGCAGATATTTTCCAATGACGGCCAGTTCAAAAGTCGGTTTGGCATACGAGGGCGCTCTCCTGGGCAGCTGCAGCGGCCCACAGGAGTGGCTGTGCATCCCAGCGGGGACATAATCATCGCAGACTATGATAATAAGTGGGTTAGCATTTTCTCTTCTGATGGCAAGTTTAAGGTAAGATTAAGCTGCCAGGGGGCTGCTAAACAGTAGAGAGAAGAAATAGGAACTATAAAGATGAACTTCGACAAGTTCTCATATACAAAGACCTGTTCACATTGTTCCATCTAACCTTTATGGAGAGGAACAGTGATATTGTCCTAAATCTTATATATAGGAAATAGCGGCTTCATTTTGTCAAGCTGCTAGGTTGCTCAGTCACTTTCTTTTTACGTATGATCATATTTACCTAAATGCAATGAAGAATAGCTGTTAGAAAAGGGTATCGAAGGGGCCACTGGTATCTCCCCACTTAACCCACAGATTGGCATGTATGAAGTTGCCTTCTATTGTCTCAGGCCTGTGATAGAGGATGATATGGGAGAACCAGAATTGTAAGACCTGGTTTGAAAAACCTACAAGCCTCTTGAGGAAAAACGACACCAGAATGACACAAAACAATTTGTGTCAGCCTCGAATCAGTCATACATTGTTTGGTGCAATCTGAAAACCTACTGGTGAAATGTGTAAATAGGAATTGGGAGGAAAAGAAAATGGTGGCTGGCAGCACAGAGAAAAGGGGAGTTTAGTTGTACTTTGGGGGGGGGGTTCCATCACTTGACATATTTGCTATTGTCCCCAGCATCATCTCTTTCTTCAGCAAGTCACTGAAGAGTAGAGAGCCTGCTAGGGGTACCAGGAATCTCTTGTAAGGTGTCCTCAAAGAATATTATCATGCAGCCTGTTCTCTGTTGTTCTCACGAAGATTGAGACACTTTGTCAAACATGTTTTCGAAGTCTGTCAGCACTGTGCCTCCTGTATTGCCCTGTCCAGCCTGCTAGAGGCTTCTCATGTACTTTCACTCAGACAAATCAACCCTTGGGAATCCCAGGTCTGCAACTTATGAACTACTGATATAAGTTCCCTGAGCCTCAATAGTCTCCTATGTCAAAGTTGGATTAAAAAAATATATATTTTATGGGATTTGGGTAAGGATTACAGATTTATTTTTGGATTTTATATTGCCTTGTATGAAAAAGGCATCTGCGTCCAGTAACCCTGTCCAAGAAATGAAGTCTGTTTGATCAGCTGTAATTTGGACTCCAGGACTTGCCAGCACTTGGTCAGAACTTCCTTTTCCATCTGTTGAGAGATTGATGCTCTTCATAATCTATTTTGGAATCCTGAAGATTACATGAAGTTCACTCAGTAGTTTCTTTTTGGAGGAATTTATATTTCCCTTTTTAAAGTTGTTGGATCACTACAGTCACCCCCTCATTTTTATTAAAACAAGTTACTTCCATTATTACTAACCCTCAGATGGGAGCCTCTGTTTTATGTGGGGCAGCATCTTTTCAATCTAGGAGACTCAAAAGCTGTAGTTTCTAATTCCGCCACATTCTTCAATTCAAATGCCACACAATTCTTCAACTGCCCTTGAGGTTTTTTTTTCTTGTTCCACCACAAATTTGATGACTCCATATGATGGCCACATACACAGAAAGGTCTCTTGCCTTTCTAGATCTCTACCTTCCTCCCCTTCTTTTTATGTTTTTGTAATTGTATTTGTAGTAAGACATACTCAAATACAACAGCTTTAACATGAACAGAAGGAAGACTGTTCAGCGACATCCGTCTAATTTGGAGACAACCCATTTCCTTGTGTTACATACTCTAGCAAAATCATGACCTGTCTCTAACTTCATAAACGGATGCTAAAACAAGTATAAAGGCAGCAGTTTTATGTCTAATATACTGAAATATTTTATATCTACTATATTAAGACATTTTGAAACTGAAGTTTTATATTTAGGAGAGAAGGCCTTCCTGAATTACGCATTTTTCATTCAATTTTTCGATAGTCTGTATGTAATAGACACTAACCTGGGAGATCCAGATCCTCACAGCTGGAATACTGTTGTAGTAATTGGAATAAACAATAACACTTGTGCCCTCTAGAGGACAGATAAGGTAGAGTTTCAGCATACCCTTTTATTTTCAGTAGGCGTTGATTGGGAGTGAAAGGATAGCAAGTAAAAATGCTTTAATACTGTAATGGGAGCTCATCCGACTTACCATTTGCTCGACCATTTACTGAAAGATACTTATTTTCTTTTCATGGTGTTAAGTAAAATTAAACACATGCTCAGAAAGACAAACCCTCAACACAAAGGTGAATTCTTTGTGTTTGTTCCTAGTTAGTTCTAGAGACATAACCGCTTATCCCCTTTTCTTTCTTCTACTCACCAAATTCTTAGCCCTAATTTTCATTCCTCTCTGCTTCTGATTTTTTCCTTGCCATCTTTTCTGTCGATTTACATCTTTCAGCCCATCCCAGAAGGCTTTTGTAACCCTAGAACAGACACAGAGGCCCCAGCATATCCTAAAATATCTCATCTCTTCCTTCTTCAATCTAAGGATCTACTTGTTGAGTTAAATACTTCTATTTACCTGTTTCAAAGTCAGGGTCTAAAATACCTCTGCTCACTATTGGGTTTAAGACAGGGAACACGTCAGGCCAAGTGCAGTGACTCTTAGTTTCACATTAACATGCGAATGTTACTTTCACATTCACACTAACATGGTAAAATCTGGTGCAGCTATGCTGGGAGTGATGAAAGTAGAAGAAAAAGAGGTTTGCACTCAACATCTCAGGTTTTCTGCCCTTTTTTTTTTTTAAGACCTGCTGTAGCTCTTACTGCATGATGGAATGGCAACAGTCCTTTATTTTCTGTCTTTGTTCTATGTAATTGCCATCTATTTGGTATTATATGACTGAGGCATTCTAAAGTACAGCTAGTGTTCATAGTGTTACGTGGTAATAATATTCTTGCTGTAATAATCAGAGGGTCCTCACTTCCTTTTGATCTCTACTGACATATCTTCCGTTACAACATGAAAGAATACAGTATCTTTATAGATCGTTATGGTACAGCCTCTTTGATCTCTGAGCTAATTTACAAAGTCAGAATCAAATTTATATAACAGATTCCCTTGGAAGAATCCCATTGTTTCCTTCCTAAGTAAATGTGTCTGTTCGTACTCAAGACAACAAATTTGAATCTCATCTATAAGCTTGTAAGAATGAAAAATCCCACACTGTCTGAACTCCCACTATGAAGAAGTCCCTATCCCTCTCTCCATACCCTCTTTCTGCACATACCTGCATGTCTCTGTTAACACTTGAGTGGCAGGTATGACAGCAATGGAATGGGTGGAGAGAAGGAGATTTTGTGCCATCTGCTGTGCTTGGCGCACTGTCCTTCAGAATCTGCATGACCCAGGAGGTAAATGCAATAGCTACCATTTTACAGGTGAGAAAACTGAGGTTCCAACTGGTAAAAGAGTAAATTTGGCTCTGAAATTTTGATCCTGAGTTTGGATGAACTGTGGTATCATAAAAGAAACTAGGAAATCAGGAGGTGCTAATTTTTTTTTTAAGTGCTGGAAAGGAGATAAATTTGGCTTAATACTGGTTGAGTTTAGGGTAATAACTTGTAAAATAGGTCAGGACTAAAGATACAGATTTGAGATTCTTACACACAGAGGTGAAGGTTGATGCCATTGCATAAATGAGGTCTTAGAAGAAGTGTAGAGAGTTACGCTGTCCAGTTTGGTAGCCACTAGCCACAGTGGATGCTGAGTTCTTGAAATGGGACTGGTCTGAACTGAGCTGTGCTATGCGTGTGAAATACACACTGGATTTTAAAGACTTAGTAAAAAAAAAAAAAGTAAAATATATCATCGTTAATTTTAATATTGATTACCTTCTGAAATAACTGTTTATCATATGTTAGGTCAAATACAATATATGATTTACATACTTTTCCCTTTTTTTTCTTAGTTTTTCCGATGTTGGTTACTAGAAAAATCTTAATTACAGATATGGCTTATGTTATATTTCTACCAGGCAGAGAGAGAAAATAAGAGGACTAAAACAGAACCTATGGAAATGTAAATTTGGGGGGATTAAAAATTTTAATTTAAAAAGTAATACATGCAGATAGGTTTTTAAAATAACCCTACAGATGAGCATCAAATGAAAAGTTAGAGTTTCTTCTGCCAGCAGTAATACCGCTGGCTTCTTACCTTCTCTTCCAGGAATACATATACAGACATAAACCCATTTAAATCAGGTGGGCTCAGACTATACCCATTGTTCAGGACCTTGGTTTGTTTAATAATATGTTTGAGGAAGCATTTATAAAAACACACAGAGATCTACTCTACCCTCTAAGCCTCAGTGCCTAGGGGAGCGGCGGCTCTTGCCTCCTCCGTCACTGGGCACTCGGCCTGGCTGCTCCCTCCCCTTGGGTGCTCCCTCTCCTTCCTTTCTGTAGTGACTCATCCTATTAAGTTTTTAATAGGTAATAAGTTTTTGTTCTCTTTGGCTTCTGACATCGCCTGTTTGAATTCTCCCAAATCTCCCAGTCTCCCAAATCAGACACTCAATACCAGGCACTTTAAAAAGGACCCAGTGACCGTATTTTTCTCTGTAATGTGACAGAGACATCTCCAGGGTAGGGGCTGGTCTTGGCATTGCCTACTCAATGCCTGCAACCCTCAGCCACAGAGTTGGTGCTCCATTTACTTATGCTATAAAGCATAAGTAAATAAATGGGAGCACGAGTAAAATATTTCTTTATAATGTTGCTATAAAAGTATATAAACAGGCATTTATATAGTCTACTCAGAAAAATGAATAAGATTTAAAATGAATATGGTATGTGTTTGAGAGAAATCAAATGCTTTTCTCCCATCTTAAAATACTGAAAACCGGAACTATTCAATCATCATGGTTACCCTAAATAATACTAGGCTCTTGAAGTCAATATATTCAGCAAATATTTGTTGAGTCCCTATTGGGCACCAGGAAGTACACTAGGCTCTAAGTACACGGTAGTGGATAAAACGGACATGATTCCTGCCTTCATGGAACTTAACACTGGTGAAGTCCAATGCCAGAGGCTTGGTGATTTTGATATTAATTATGATCCCAATAATGACAATGATAGCTTCCCTTTAACGACTGCCTAATACGGGCTATATTATACACTAAATACCTTTTGACATTGTTTTACTTGTACATATTCCAAAAATGCCACTGGTAGTTACTAAAGTCTTTTTTTTTTTAATACACTTTTTGATGTATAAGGAATCCAAAGCTTGAGGAAATCAAATGTACTTGTGCTATTCTAGGTGTGTCTAAAGCAAGCGACAGGTGTAGAATGTCTCCCTCCTCCTGATCCTGTGATCTTTTGCTAGACCACACTGCATCTCTACAAGGGAACGGTGACCTCAGCCAGGGGGATTCAAGAACATTTTTGGTGGTGATCCCCTTAAAAAGTAAGGATTTCGCATAAATCTTAGTAGCAGTTAATGGACGTGACAAAAACAGAAGCCCATGACCTCTGAGTAGTTGTCCACCCCCGTTTGAATATTCAGGTACATTTGCACTAAAACAGATGTCTGCCTTCATGTTCCGTAGTGTTTTAAACCTCCTTCTCTGTACTTGTTTCTAACAGACAAAAATTGGATCCGGAAAGTTGATGGGGCCCAAGGGAGTCTCTGTGGACCGCAACGGGCACATCATCGTGGTGGACAACAAGGCGTGCTGCGTGTTTATCTTCCAGCCAAATGGGAAGATAGTCACCAGGTTTGGTAGCCGAGGAAATGGGGACAGGCAGTTTGCAGGTACACTCAATGGTAATATGTAAACCCCCTTTTTTATGCTTCTTCTGCTCACATTTGCATGATGTTGGAGCATGTGGAAGTTGCCTCAATCCCCAGTGTTTGCCGGCTTTGGGAAAGACACTGGGGATGAAATCTAAAGGAAAGCATGGTGGGATGCTTCTCAGTGACTCTACCGGCAGTAAGTTGGGCTGCAGGCCACGTGCGATTTCTGTTGGCAGCCGCGTGCAACTCAGAAGTCTGATCTTTGAATATTATTATTAAGTAAAACATAAATTTTAAGGTAAATATTTTAAAAATAAAGATGTTTGACGAATAGTAGTGTTCCTCCTAATTCTCTCTAGCTGTAGCTTTGTCTAAAGAGCTTCTGGATGAGAATTTTTTTCACTTTCCTAGGTGATGATAGGTGATGATAGGAGAGCAGGACTTTAGAATGTTCAGGAAGGGCAGTTCTATTACCTCTCTTTTTGGCGTAGCCCTTTTGCAAGCACAAGTTGCTTAGTTTTTCAAATCTGCAAGAAGAGGCTGAAAGCAGTTTATTATGTTTTCTTTTTGAGAGGATGCTTTTGGCATTTGACAACAATTTGCATCATCTTTTTTTTTTTTTTTTTTGTGCTTTGTCTCCAGTGCTGCCAGGTTCTGAATGTCACCCCAAATTACCGAGTATGGATTTCTGCTCTACTTTTTAAAAAATATTAAATATTGGAGTCTTTTTCTCAGGACCGAGAATCACCACATCTTTCCTCAGGGGGACCTGAGGGCCCTGAAAGGATTAAAGTGTCCTCAGGGAAGCTGGCAGATGTGACTTTCAGATGGTGGCTTGGAGGATGAATTCTGATGCTTACTGGTCATTCCACTTCATTAGGGCTGCTGGTGCTCTCAGCTTGCTCTAAAAGAAGCCAGAGTGGATAGTCCCAAGTGTAGAAGGGTAGAGGACCCAGGGGATCTCGAGCCAGAATTCTGGCTGAATGATCTTTGAAGAACGGAGACTGTGATTCTTTGTGCTTTCTTAAGTATCAAATAGGTTAAATTGTGTCACTGCTGTGTTGCTATAATCATTTTTATCATTACAGTCGTCACTTACTTTTTTCACCTTTATTGCAGGTCCCCATTTTGCAGCTGTAAATAGCAATAATGAGATTATTGTTACGGATTTCCATAATCATTCTGTCAAGGTACTATCAGCACATCAATTATTGTTACCTTTTAACTGCTTTTATTGGGAAATCAATCAGAGAAGATAATATAATAATGATATATATGCACAGGAACTAAAGGAGTTAACCTCAAAGAGTAGATTTTGCTTCTCCCTGAGGTGCAGGTTTTAATTTGGACATACAGACTTTGGAGAGTCAGAAAATTGAACAAAATAGGGTGGTTGGTGAGTTTCTTAATTTGAAACGGGCGTAAATGGTGATGACTACAGAATGAAATTTGAAAAAGCAGTCGCTTAAACTTAGGCAGAACTTTCTGAAGCTTCATATTTTTGGCTATTCGATAAATTAAAACTAGATCATTTTTTTATTATCTGCACCATAATGCCTTTCAAACAAAATTAGATATTAGAATTCTGCTACAACCAGAGTTGAGGAGGGAGATAGCCCTAGTATACATTCCTACAGCTATTTCATACTTAGAATGCCCTCACACAGTGTGGGTGTTCCCCAGAATACAGTGCCCGTTCAGCTCCCTGGAACAGTGTGGTACATTTTCCTTACTAGGTATGGAGGGGGGAGGGAAAATTTGATGTTTATGATCCAGTCAGGACGTATAAAAATGAATCAGAACAGATTTGTCATTTTACTGAAAAGAGGAAATGTTTTGTCACATTCTAGACCACAATTCTCAAGGTGTGGTGCATGTTCCCCTGAAGGGACGCCAGTGGGCACGGACCAAGCACTGGCAGGCATTTTTATTTGGAGAGTTATATGTTTATTTTTAGGGTTACCTTCTATTTACATCAAGTGGTACTGCTTTACTCTTACAGAAATGATAGAAAGTTTCCCTTGTAAGTAAATTCATTTACATTTTTTTTAAGTGAGGCTTTTTTTTTCTTTTAAAGCTTTTATTTATTTATTTGTCTGGGGGAGAGAGAGCGCGCACTCGAGCATAAGCAGGGGGAGGGACAGATCCAGGGAGAAACAGGCTCCCCGCTGAGCAAGGAGCCCATTGTGGGACTCGATCCCAGGACTCTGGGATCATGCCCTGAGCTGAAGGCAAACGCTTAAGCCACCTAGCTACCCAGGCACCCCTAAAGTGAGGCATTTTTAAAGGAAGGATAATAAGGAAACAGCAGAGGTGATACAGGCCAGTGACTGAAGTTTGTATTTAGAGACAACCATTGGGCAACCAAAGCAAAAAATAGTTTGTTCTTGTTGATAACTGGAATAGTGTAGGGATAATAACGTAGGGATGAGATTTCAACACCCATCTTCTGAGTCCTTCACTGCTCCATTTCCCCAGTTTGCCCTGAAGGCATCTTTAACCTGAGTAAGATGGAAAGGTTTTGAGCTTTTTTTGGTGGCTACCAAGTCCCTGTGTAAAGACTAGAGCAGGGTGGGCTGTGGTGATGGGGCTGGAGGAGGAGAAGGGACCCCCACCATTGCTTACTTCTCAGGCTGCCTCCTGTGTGTTGTCTCTCCCGAGTTGCTGCCACAGTGGTAGACCTCTATCCACACTCCCCTCACCGCCCTCAGTCTCTCTCTCTATAGGACCTGTCTCCGTGAAAGCAAGAGGACTGTGAGAAAAGTAGTGGTGGGCAGGAGGGAGACCTCAAAGGGGCCATAGGGACTGGGCTCTAGGCTGGCCTCCCAGAGGGCTGTAACAGTCCTGTGTGAGAAGAGTAACGAGAGGAGTCACAGTCTGGTAACACGCTTCCAGCCTTCCCTCTCTTTGTAGAGGAATCATTAACTAGAGGGCATTTAAGCCGAAGGTAACCAGTGTAGATGAGCAAAGGCCAGCAAACGCCTGGCATAGATGCTGCCCACCACCCCCGAAGACAGTCCTATTAATCAAGTTGCTCTTTTCTACTAAGCGCAACTGTGGCCTCAGAGCCTTTCCGTCCCAGTGCTCCAGGCAGCCTCTATGAACCAACTGGCATTGGTATGTGGGAGGACTCCTATTTACCAGCCCTGGCTGACAATGTAGAAGGAAATAAAACAGATGTAAGTAATCAACATGCAAGGCAGGTAGCACTGAGCGATTTCTTTAAAAGAGGTACATATAAAGGTCTCTAAGTATCCAGAAGAAAACAAAGAGCAGATTTCTGTAACTAAGACTTACCAGGGAAGACTTCCAAGTGGAGGTGGTATTTAAGGTGAGTAGGATTTTGAAATCAGGAAAGGATTATGAAAGTTATCAAAAAACTTGGCCATTATATCACCGCTGTGAAAACTATTTCAGCTCACACATCTGCCTCTTAATATGTTTTCATCTGAATAATTTATAAGCAATTAAATGATGTCTTAGGCGGGAAAAATAAACTATGAGAAATTTATAATTCCTAAGATTCTGATAATACGTCAGGTTTTCAGTACAGTAGAGGTAGACTATTTTAGTAATTTAAATTCAGTTTTCCTCGTATTTAAGAAAACCAGTCTATTTTGTTTTTTCTCTTCTCTTTGATAGCTGTTGCCATGTAGCTTTTATGGAATAGTTGGGCTTTAGTTTCCCATGTAACACGTGGCAGTTAGAAGTGGTTCTGGATTCCAGGCCCTTCTCTGGTGGTCAGTATGAAAACTGTGCCTATAGGTCAGGGCTGACAAATGGTCTAGTTCTTTAGCTACCTTCAGCATGCATTCTCTTTTCATTGCAAAACAAGTAAGACTAAATTTGGCATTCTCTATCATTTCAAAATAGAGCAGAGGTGTTTGAGCCATTTGGATCATACCGAGGAAAACATACTTACTCAGAGAGATCAGTACAAACAAACAAAAAGATTATTGGTAGAAGATAATTGTAAAGATGAGAGAATAATAGATTGTGTCCTCGCCAGCAAACACTCTCATTGGTCTTTAAAACAAGAATGTTTTGTGTGAAATGAGAAAAGTAGTCAGGAAAGATTTTTAAGCTATAACATCTTAGTAAAAGCTGGTTCTTGTTTTATTCTTTGCAAAGAACCAAAGAGGTGGCTTGCTTACTTGGCAAGTTAGGCAATTCAAGAAGCAATCATGCTTCTTTTTCATCTTAAATGAAGTTTAGCCTTTAGAGATGGAAGTGTCTCACTTCACTTTCCCAGTACATATAACTAAAAGGAAGAGTCGTTTTCATCTTTCATGATCACAGAGGTGGCAACAGGAGAATCTGTAAAAGACCCTGAGATCATTTTCCAATTAGATCTGCACTCAGGTGTAGTGAAATCCCTCAGTTCCACATTTTAGGAACCGTTACTCTCCATGGTGCTTTGCATGTAATACTTTTTCATTTGCTAATGAGTATTTTTACGCATTTTTAATTAACCACAACAACCCATTGCTTTTCCATATCAGATACTAGAGAATTTGCCAAAGAATTCTGGGTTTTGCCCACTTCTGTCAACCCGCCTCCCCTTGGTATACTCCATCCAGCAAAGCCTTATGGTCATATAAACTCTTTATTTTAGCTAAGTATATATTTTGAAAAAATATATTAAAAGCCTTTCTTTTGATTCCTCACCTTTGCCATTAAGCACAGACACACACACGCATGTGCACACCTGTACATTTCCCCTGCTGTAGGTGTGAAGTCCGGCCTACTCTTTTCTCACATCGACTTTGCAAAATGGTAATAAAATCTGAGCATCTGGCCTAACGAAAACTCCTAGGTCCTGATCCAGTGTTGATCACCCATCCTTTAGAAACACGATGCCTGTCCTTGAGACTAACTATTTACTTAAAGGCAGAAAGAATTATATGGTTGAAAATTACAGCTCCACTTTCTCATCCTACCCTATACTTGTATATATTTTATAATTTATAACAAAAGCATTTTTCATATAAGTATTCAAAAACCAGATGTTAAGTTAGAAATAAGTGATTTAATAAATAATAAATCAAATTTATATAGCAAATTGGGGAAGCATAAATGATGTGGGGGTCTACTTTGTAGATTTTTTTTTAAGAATGTCTTAAATCATAGGGCTTATTATAAAAAACCTGCTCTATACGTATTTTTATAACTCATAATGTTGGTTCAGCTGTTCTCGATTTAAAATAAAACCATTTAAAAATATCTCATACAGGTGTTTAATCAGGAGGGAGAATTCATGTTGAAGTTCGGCTCAAATGGAGAAGGAAATGGGCAGTTTAATGCTCCAACAGGTGTAGCAGTGGATTCAAATGGAAACATCATTGTGGCGGACTGGGGAAACAGCAGGATCCAGGTAACTGGAAATGCTAATGTATCTGTGGAGAGAAATTGTTATTTGTTGAAAGTGAAGAATTGCCTGTCTCCCAACCGGAATGTGTTCCATTCTTCATGGGTTAGATTCTCCATAGACCACTTGATCTCACCAGAAGTGCTGAAATAAGGAAGGTAGAGTAGGAAAAACATCAACAGGTTACCAGAGTGAATCCTAAAGTGTGTAGTGGATAGAACTCAAGAGGTCCATTGAACCAAAATATTATATTACTAGTTCTACTAGCTTCTAACTAAAAACTATCATTTTCTTTAACAATGAATATAGGCAACAGTCACAGGAGTTTTAGTAATATCTATAACTTTGTCACCACGAGGAATCACAGAAATTTCCATATTACAGTTGCAAGATCTCAAATTACCATTTGTGCTCATCACTCTTTGAAAATAGTCAATATTAGACATATCACTATTTCTTGTTACCTTATTGTGTTAAGAAAGTACACATATTACTATATTGCCATTTTGTAAAATTTTGATAACTATATTTTAATATAATGGTTTTCCTTTATAACCCCATGTATTTTGTTTTAATCATTTAAAAACATTATTCTGCTGAATAACCTGAATCAAAGGGGAAGCCTCAAGGAAAACTTAAAAATACATCGAACTGAAGGAAAACACAGATAACAGCATATCGAGGTTTGTGGAGTGCAGCTAAGACAATCCTGAGAGGGAGATTTTTTTCCCCTGGCTTTATTGAGATATAATTGACATACAACACTGTGTAAGTTAAAGGTGTACAACATGTTGATTTGATAAATACCGCAAAACGATTACCACTATCGCTTTAGTTAACACCTCCATCACCATCCCATTGTTAGCATTTCTTTTTTTGTGGTGACAGCATAAAGATCTCCTCTCAGCAACTTTCAAGTACCTAAGACAGTTTTATTAACTATAATTCCCCCACTGTGCGTTAGATCCCCAGAACTTAATCATCTTCTAACTGGAAGTTTATACCCTTTGATCAATTTCTCCCCATTTCCCTCACTCCTCAGCTCTGGTAACCATCATTCTACATGTGAGGGAAATTAACAGCACTAAATGCTTACATTAGAAAGTCAGAAATCAATATTCTGAGCTCCTACCTCAAGAAGCTGGAAAGCAAGGAGCAAAACAAGCTAAAAGCAAGCCGAGGGAAGGAAATGGTGAAGATAGGAATAGAAATCAATGAAATGTAAGGCAAACAATATGGAAAATCAGTGAAACAGAAAGTTGGTTCACTGAAAAGAGCAATAAAATTGAAAACCTCTGGCAAGATTGATAAAGGAAAGACACAGGACACTAATACCATTACAGACTCTGCAGTCATACAGAAATTCTGTGAACAACTCTACAGGCATAAATTTGACAATTTAAATTCCTCAAAAAGTACAAATCCCACAACTCACCCAATATAAAATACTTTGAATACCCCAAAAACTACTAAGGAAATTTTATTTCATAATTTTAAAACTCCCCAAGAAGAAATCTCCAGACTCAGATGGTTTTACTGGAGTATTCTACTAAACCAGATGAAAGGTACACAGGATTTCTCTGTACTATCAGTGCAGATTCCTATAATTTTTTCAAAATTAAAAGTTAACAAAAACGGGGCACCTGTGTGGCTCAGGTCATGATCCTGGAGCATCAAGTCCCAAGTCAGGCTCCCTTTTCAGTGAGGAGTCTCCTCCCTTGCTGCTGCCCTCCCCCGTCTTATTCCCTTCTCTCTTTCTCTCTCTCTCTCTCTCTCTCAAATAAATAAAATCTTAAAAAAATAAAAGTTAACAAAAATAAACTTTAAAAATAATAATGAATTTAAATACATTGTCATGGTTGAGCAATAATGGTGCCGTAAATGGCATTTGGCATTTTATTTGGGTATAAAAGAATAATAAAAGTGGTTACATTCTAGAAAAAAATAGTAAAACACTATTTTCAGACGGGGTCTGTTGTCTTTGCTAGACAAAAAAATGTATGATTTTTTTAAAAATTAAGAACAAAGATTTTGAATCCTCAGACTAAAGAAAGATTATTCTTTCCCCCCATTTCTCTGTGTAAACACCTCCATGAATCCAAACATACGTCTGCAGACGGGCCTATTTATCCTTGCTAATGTGGCCCTGTGCAGAGCTCCTGGGACCTCAGAATGCACTGGTTAAATCTAGTAGCATCCAGATGTCTTTGTGAAGACAGCAGTAGTCAGCAGTTTGAATCTGGTATAGGTATTTACCTCCCAGAAAAAGGATTGAGGGGCACCTGGCTGACTCAGCCACTAGAGCATGCAACTCTTGATCTCGGGGTTGTGAGTTCCAGCCCCGCATTAGGTTTAGAGTTTACTTAAAAAAAAAAAAAAATCTTAAAAAAAGAAGGAAGAAGAAAGATTGAGGCTATAAATGAAACTCTAAATGTTTTTATTTCTCTATTATATTATTATATTTACCTTGCTTAATTATGCCAGCTGACATCTACATTTGAAAGAGGCATTCTGTATGTGATGGAAAGCCAGAAGCCAGACAGGGAACTACGTTCACAAAGCAGTTCAGTATAAGACCACAGATAGTAAGCTGTTTGGATTGTGGCCCTCATAAGCACCTGCCTCATCACACTGCCTTTTAAAACACCTATGGGCCTAACAGAATGATCAAAAGAAACAAGCCTGGGCCTTACAAAAGAGAAGGGTTCCTTTTATTTCATCATGGCAGAAGCTTACAGACCAAAAGAAGACTACTTCATGTCCAGATATACATGGGGCGCCTGAGTGGCTCGGTCGGTTAAGCTTATGATGCTTGATTTCGGCTCCACTCATTATCTCAGGGTTGTGAAATCAAGCCCCATATGGACCTCCGCACTGGGCATGAAGCCTGTTTAAGATTCTCTCTCTCCCTCTCCTTCTGCCTCTCTCCCCCTAAAACTAAACAAAGCGAAACAAATGTACATGTTGTGGGATGTCCCGCTGGCTGTGGTTAGAGCATGTGACTCTTGATCTTGGGGTTGTGAGTTTGAGCTCTATGTTGCGTGTAGAGATTACTTAAAAATAAAATCTTAAAAAAAAAAACAACCCCACAAATGTACATAGTAAACCATTGACTTCTTAAAACTCCTCTTTTCTGAAAAGGAAAATAAATGATCTTCTCATAGTATACTATGGCAACCATACCTCTGTTGCTGTTTTTTCTGTTATGATTGGGAATAAAAAAGGGATGTGAGGCTGGAAGGAGGGAAAGTGAAAACTGAGAAAGAAACAAGGGTCATTCATTTTCAGGTACCAATGAAGGCTATTCCCCTCAAACTGACCACTGTAAGAATGTAAGTGAAATCTGTTGGCCAGTGGCATCCTCCTTGTCAGTGACTCTGGGGCATAGAGAATTAGAGGAGAAAAAGCAAGGTTAAGTAGAGGGAAAGAGTGGATATGTGATAGTGACCTAAACAAACCTGTGGGCTTACATGCATAGTTTTTCTAAAGATTTATTTTTATTTATTTTGGAGAGTGAGGGAGGGGCAGAGGGAGAGAGAGTCTTAAGCAGCTGTGCTGTGTGCGGAGCTCCACAAGGGGCTGGATCTCACGACCCTGAGATTACCACCTGAGCCGAAACCAAGATTTAGATGCCTAACTGACCTGCCTCTTACACACATGCTTTTATACTGAAAAGATTAGCATCAAGGGTTTTCTAACTCCTCTATTTCATCATATTACTATAACTTCTATAGCACTCTGGCTTTTTATTTTTTTATAGGTTTTTGATGGAAGCGGATCATTTTTGTCCTATATTAACACATCTGCTGACCCACTCTACGGCCCCCAAGGCCTGGCCCTAACTTCAGATGGCCATGTCGTGGTTGCAGACTCTGGAAACCACTGTTTCAAGGTATACCGGTACTTACAGTAATGATGGGCAGCCGGACAGCCCCTTACAAAGGTCTTGCACTATAAACTGGAATGGATTTCTCGACGCGGGACCAGATTACACTAGACTTTCCTTGCTAGAAGGAATCATTGGTGAACTTTTCAAGGTTATTTCTGAATGTAACTATTTCCTTAAAAACTGCATATCTGATTTCTGTATTTACCTTTTAGGGTTTAAAGAAAAAAAATTCCTTCTACTGAATCTATGGAAATGGCAAAGTTTTACACCTGTGAACTATGGCTTATTGGACAGGGATTTATGTAGTTGAACTGATTTTGCAAATCGAACAGACACTAAAACACAAAACAAAAAAAACCTGGACTATTTAAAGGTATTCATTAATCCTGTGAATGGTAGCTTTTGTGCAGAGCTTCCAAAAACAAAACAAAATCTATTGTAGTTACATACTTTATTTAACTTTGGTTACAAGACCCGGGGGATCTTCTAACTTCCCTTTTACAGTAGGTATTACTCCTGTGACATTTTTTGGGTTATTGATAATTACACATACATTAGGAGGAAAACAAGACTGTCTTGCAGAATCCTCCCAGCTGTGATTAGGCAGTCCTCTTGAGTTTAGCACTTAAAAACCACTGCAAATTTCCCATCCTTTTTGGGTTAGATCCAAGATCCTTTTTGTGTGTTCTTTTCACCTTTTTCTCCCACTCACCTTGTATCAAAAAACAAAGTCCATTTTCAGGGAAACCTGAAATTCCCAATGCTTTGAAAAGCATATTACAATAGCAAATGCTACCTTTTAGTAAACAAACAGCCCCCTCAACTCCAGACTAATGCACTAGAATGTAATCAAGAAAAAATTAGCCACATTTTATGTGCCAATGTTCTCACGTGTCTCTCCTCTTCCACTTCCTGAAAGCGAAAGCTTTACCTCCTGCAAAATGTCAGCACATGTAGTAGGACACCAGTATCCTAGGACAGAGAGCCATAAGTAGCCCTTTGGAGGACTGATGGTGTCGACCAAAGGCATGTGAATGATTAATGGTTTCCCCTTAGAAAGCAAGTGTTACCAAAGTTGTGTTATCCCAAAAGCATTACAGGTAAGGGCATGTTATGGTTATTTATCATTGTCTAATGAATAGTAGAGGCATTAAAGGACTATGTATACATGATTAGGGTAAGGTAGAATGTATCATATATATATATATATATATATATATATATATATATACACACACACACACACACACACACACACATATATACACATACATACATACTCACACACATATATATATATATATATATGGCTGAATCTTTGGTGTATTGAAATAGGCAGCACTCTGAAAGACAGAAGCATTGTCCAGCACATTCCTTTACCACGCAATTTAAAGCCGTCCTCATAGAGTAAGCCTGAAAACAGGTTTAATTTTCACCATTTTCCAGTAATGATGATACCGGCTAACTTTTATAGCCAGAAAACAGCCTTCTGTGCTTTCAAAAACAAAACAAAACAAAAACAGGTCAAAAGAAAAAGAAACGATGAATTGAGTTACATTTAAGTATACATGCATTTGGAGAGATGTGAAGAATTTAGTCAGTTGTTAATCTGTCACTGATACTGTAACATAAGATGTGGTCTGTTTCCACTGTTTAATTTTCTACTCAGTTCTACCAAATAGGATGTCATGTTTGGCGTTTTCGAAATGACTTTGGGATCTTTTTCACTGAAAGCACCTTAGAACTGTACTATAAGAAAACATTTCCCATATGTATAATGACGTGATGTTTATTGCTTATTAATTTATAATTCAGTCTTTCTCTTATATAGGACTTTTTTAAAGTTAGAAGGGAAAACTAGCTACTTCCAGTTGTCTATCAAATTTATTATGCCCAAATCAACCTCTGAAAGAAAATTTTTCAGGAAGATTTACATTTAGGTTTACTTTTTTTTTTTTTTTTTTTTATTTAGAGCTTTCAAAATATTTGAGACTATGACAAAATTATAAAATTCAATAACATTTTTAGAATATTAAGCTAAGATACTGTTTCCTAACATCAGCAAACTAAGTCTTTGAATTGAAACAAAGCATTTTGTATTTACTGAGTGCTTCCTAGGTGCTGGGCACCCTTCTGGGCACTGGGGAAACAGAGATGGATGAAACCAACAGAAATCCCTGCCCATTTGGAGCTTTCACTCTAGGGAGGAATTTCCTTTTGCCACTTACTAACATTCTGCATTCAAGATAAGCTAGACTCTTGATAGCTCCTAGACTGTTTAAAACTTTTTATATTGGTTCAGTTAATTTTGGTTTATTTTCACAAGTAAAAATGGCTTCTTATTTAGATTCTGTCACAGGTTGTTGGTCTTAAGACTAGTTTACTTTAAAAAAGATGTTTGTTTGTTTGTTTGTTTTCACAGCATTGAAATTGTATTTGTGAATTTAGAAATTAACCAGCCATCATGCCAGAACAGGTTGGCTATCTCAATAATAGATTGAATACAAGACTAATTGTTTTTTTTTAATCTGTCAATATTGACACAAACTGGAATGGAAGACTAGATACTTTGATTCAGACCTTTTCCACCATCTGTTGCTAAAACATTTGTGATGAACACTCCAAGAAACACTGATTTTTTCCCCCCAAAAAATAAGTAATTGTGTATGTTAAAGTATAGATAACATTTCACATTTGGATACATAGGAGCATTTACTGTATTCCTTAGTAAGCATATTGGGTGGAGGGAAGTGCTGCTGATAAGATACGAATAGACAAGATTTAAATGAAATTTTGTCAACATTCTATGGAAAAGGGTTTCTGGTAAACTGAGAAGGATTTTAAAATAAGTGACTTTTTTCCCTGAGCTATCATTATTGTTTGCTTTCTCTTTGTCAAGTGTACAGAATCTGTCATACATTCATGATAAGTAGCACTGAAAAATTACCCATTCAAATGTCCCCTGGGCACTTAACGGCAAAAGATTGCCAGTTCGAATGTAAAGGTCAGTGACAACGCATTCCTGCCCGATACAGACCTCTCCTGAGGGGCTCTGGGGATGTAGTCACTTGACCATCCAGAAAACACATGAATAAAAAGCCTTTATGACTGTTCACCATCGATTTAATGGTACTTAGTATTTCGATCAAACTTTTGTCTCCAGTAACAAAACAAGTCCCCGAGTTTCCTTATTTTCATTTACTCTTTGACTAGATTCGAGACAAAGAAATACTACAGGTCATGCAACTAGAAGGCACTTGCTTCTACTACCAAATATACAGGGTATGTCCTTACTTGGAGTTAACTGGAATAGTAGTACAGAAGCAAGTGTCTCTGGATCCTTCCCAGGGAAGGATTCACGTAAATGCTTTGGTAATACCTACTGAGGAATTGGAGGAAATAGTAAACAAACATTAGGTACTGTGCAGATTACTTCAAACGGGAAATACCTTTTTGTACATTAGGACTCTATAGTATCCTCCCTATTCACCAGCTTCTGAAGAGGGGGGAGTATTTTTAGTTTAATAATCTAAAAAGAGGACCTTTCCAGGTAGGATAAAATTGAAGCTCTTTGCTGCAAACATCTAATTTGCTTAAAGTCGAACGTCGTAATACTGTTGCATTCTGTCAATGTTGCAGGGTTTTAAACTTTACAATTATTTTAATATTTTTGATAACTAGGAATCTAGTATTGCCATAAAGAAAACTAAGTGCCCATTAAAGATTTGTTTGATATAAATAAATGATTTTTTTTTTTGTTTTGTTTTAAATGACAGTAAGCTACAAATCATGATGTTAATCTTAAAACGTTCTGAAGATGAACTGTGTGGCAGTGATTGTGTGGTCTGTTTGTGGAGAATGTATGAAAGCTATTCATATTCTAAAATAGATTAATAAATCAGCTATGTTGTCCCAATGAATGTACAGCACGTCCATTAACTTTCGAAAGCAACACAGCCTTAAACTCAATGCTTTTGCTTTATGACATGGGAATGTTCTGTCATCAACAGAGTGTATTCTTGTAATAGATTCTTTATATCATTCTCAATTCTATTGCCTTTCAGTCCTATGTATGAGTATTAAGGGTTTTTGCTTCTTTTTTTTTTTTCTTTTAAAATTTTGTACATTCCATCTTTCTTGGTCTGTTGCATACATTTTGTGTATAGAACACTAAGTCTTGCACTCTCTGGCATTGATACTGATATAATCTCATTTGTTCTTTTATGAATCGAAATGCTGACTGCCTATTTAAAGAAAAGAATGAACGCTGTGCATCAAAGTGTTTGTATGTTCGTAGCTGCATACGTACCACAGTATTTTGGATGCTTTAGTCTACAATAAAACTTTAAATTAATTCTGTCTTAAAACCTAGGAGAAACAAGATTCGTGTGTATATCTTTACCATGCACAAAATCTCAAATCATTATAATAAAGCTTGTTTTCTCCATTTCCAGGGTGAATGTTTATTCTACATATTGTTTGCTTTTGTAGTAACGGGGAATGAAGAAATGTTCTAGAATATTTGGGCAGGTATCAGTACCTCAACTAAACTGTTAAATTTGGAAAATTTTTGTCGTTTATGATACCAATAATTTGGTTACCATTTAGGATACATCTTAGGAATTTGGATGACCATGACAGGTATGCCTAGCACATGTTTAGAAAGTCAAATAGACCAAAATCACTATGTTTAAAGAATCACAAGCGGGACCTTCCGAAAATCATGGCAGTCACATGGAGCACGTTCTCGCAAGGTGTGGCCGTGACTGCGCAGGACCATAGCCCAGGCCCAGGTGGCTACCCTGAGAGCCAGAGCCGTGGGAAGCAAGTTCACCAGGGGTTTCCAGCCAATTCTCACGAGCATTCTGTACAAATCAATAGGCAGAAATCTCGTGAGAACTGGTGCGCCCTTAAACTAGAAAGGGACAGCAGCCTAACTACTGTCTTTAGTAGTAGTGCGCGTGCGCAGTCGGAATCGCCTCAGAATGCCGGCCAATTCTCACGATATCCTTTTGGGCTTAAGGCTCATGAAAATAGGCCGGACACCCTGGCAAACTCTTTTCCAATGGCGGGGACCCTCAGGGGAGCCGCCTGGGCCCCACCAGTGGTCCCTTGTGCTCGTGGCCTGCACCTCGCGACAAAGCACTCCAAACCTGTGGCCCAAATTGCTATAGGACGACCACCAGTTCTCACAACTTTCTGCCCAAATACATATCGATTTGGATAGAAAGCTTCTGAGAATTGGCCCGTGTTTTCTGGCAATTCAGGCCTTGTGGAGTTTGGAATGAGTTCCCCTGAGGTTTGGCCTGAGACATGGCGTGATTATGGCCGGAGCCTGCACGATTCCACTGAGTGACCCCGCCATTGGAAGTGAGTTTGTCAGAGGTTTCCAGCCAATTCTCACGAGCCTTCTATCAATTTGGGTAGAAAGCTGGTGAGAATTGGTTCACGTTGTCTGGCAATTTGGGCCTTATGTGCTCAGCGTTTGGAATGAGTTCTCTCAAGGTTTGGACCAAGACCTGGTGGAATTATGGACCAAGCCTGTGCTATTCCCCTGAAGGCTCCCCCCCCCCCCCCCCAACCCCTTCTGAAGTGAGTTTGCTGGAGGATTCCAGCCAATTCTCACCAGCTTTCTACCCAAATCGATGGGTAGAAAGCTGGTGAGAATTGGCCTACATTGTCTGGTGATTCGGGCTTCATGCACTCCGGGTTTGGAAGGAGGTCTTCTGAGATTCCGGCCAAGAACTCACTGGGTTCCCTTGTATCCGAGTTTTCGAGTCCGAGAGACCACCAAGGAGCCAACACTGATGCAATCACACCAGGGTTTATTTAGCAAGCTTAAGCTTGGGCCTAAGTATAACCCGACACAGCAGAGTAGGGACTTGGACCCCTAGCTTAGTTAAGGCAGGGGTATTTATGGGTTCCTGTTACTAAAGCAGGGTGGGGCTTCCTGTTACTAAAGCAGGGTGGGGG